CCCCCCCCCCGGCTCCGCACCCATCATGGGGAGGAGGGGTTTTTGTTGGGGACACCTCAACGTGGCACCCCAAGACCTCGGCCTCAGGGCTGGGGGGGGGGGTGCTGGGAGGTGCCCATGGGTGCAGGGGGGGCTCTGTGTGTGTGTGCGTGTGTCCCCCCCCCCCCCCCCCGATGGCACCGTGGACCGCTCGCCCACACGGGTGTTCCTCCGGCCGGGGAAACTGAGGCACGGGCGCCGTGAAGGACGCACCAGCCCCAGGCTGGCCGTGGGGTACCCCTGTCCTGATGGGGGGGGGGGGATCCTGCTCCCCCCCCCCCTTTCTCTCCCCAAAGCCCTGCCCTGCAATAATATCAATTAGCGGCGCACGGATCAGCCCTAACGAGCGGCAGCTCGGCCGCCCTCTGCCCCCGCTAACGCGCTGCCTCTTGCCAAGGGGCTCCACGGCCTTGACACCCCCCCCAGCACCGGGACCCCCCCGCAGGGCCCGAGCCGATGGGGGGGTGCAGGAGGGAAGGGGGGCGGGAGGGAAAAGCAGGGAAACGCTGAGTCAGCAAAACCGCTTGGAGGGTGGGAGGGGGGGTTTGGTGTAGGAGGGGGGTGGGGGGTCTGGCCTGAGGGTGACGGGCACCCCACAGTATCGGGGTGCTGGGAGGGGGGGGCAGGATGTGTCCCCGTCCCCACGGCGTGGCACGTGGGGCAGCGTGGGGTCTGGGGGGGGGGGGGGGGATGGACACAGGTGACATTCCCCGAGTGGAAAGGTCACGAGCACGTCCCCGTGCTCAACCCTGGCCCCAAAACATGCAGCAGCCCCCCCACCCCACCCCCGGGCAGGGCCCCCCACCCCCGGTCACCACCCCGTCCCCACGGCAGGTGGAGGGTGACAGAGCCTGAGCACAAATGTCACCGGCACCAGTCCCCTCAAACGGGGGGACGGACAGACAGACGGGGGGGGGAGGGAGAGGATGGAGGGATGAAGGGAGGGAGGAAGGGAGAGGAAGGAGGGAGGGATAGAGAGGATGAATGGATGGAGGAAGGGATGGAGAGATGGAGAGGATGGAGGGAGGGAGGGAGGGAGGGAGGGAGGGAGGGAGGGAGGGAGGGAGGGAGAGGAAGGGAGAGGAAGGAGGGAGAGGATGGAGGGATGAAGTGATGAAGCAGTGAAGGGATGGAGGCATGGAGGAAGGAGTGGAGAGGATGGAGGGAGGGAGGGAGAGGAAGGAGAGGATGGAGGGATGAAGGGATGGAGGGAGGGATAGAGAGGATGGATGGATGGAGCAAGGGATGGAGAGATGGAGAGGATGGAGGGAGGGATGGAGGGGTGGAGAGGAAGGAGGGAGGAATGTGGAGGATGGAGGGAAGGAGGGAGGGAGGGAGGGAGGGAGGGAGGGAGAGGATGAAGGGATGGAGGAAGGGATGGAGGGGTGGAGAGGTTGGAGGGAGGGAGAGGATGGAGGGATGAAGCGATGAAGCGATGAAGGGATGGAGGCATGGAGGAAGGAATGGAGAGGAGGGAGGGAGGGATGGATGGATGGAGAGAGGGATGGAGGGATGGACAGACAGACGGATGGATGGGCACCACGGGGACGGGCAGCAGGACAGACGCAGACCCCACCGCACGGCCGGGTTCTCTGGGTTTTGCCGCCGGAGGCAGGCGGCCGGGCACGGGGCCCCCAGGGTGGGGCAGCCCCCACCCCCCGCCACCCCAAGCCCCATTGGGCCGCTCACCCCCCGCTTCCCCCACGCTCGGTGAGGCCGGGATGGAGCCAGTGCCGGCCGCGGCCCCCGGCTCAGCACCGCACCCGACCCCCCCCCCCCCCCAGTACCGCGGCCCATTTCCCAACCCGCCGGCAGCGGGATGGATCCGGAACCCCCCCCCCCCCTCCCCAAAATATCTCGCAGCCCCTCCAAGATCGGCGCTTCCACGCCGGCGCCGAGGACCACGGCCGGGCCTTCCTCCCGCCTCGCCCTCCTCT